GAGATATGCTTTAAACACCAAGGAACGTGCATCATAGACAGAAATGTCAGGGTGTCCAAGATTTTCTTACCAGTCTGGAATCCAGACTGCAACTCCAAGCTTGAGACTGCTCCTGTTGCATGTTGCACAATGGAAAAGTCTTCAAGAGAGCCTGAAATCTATGTTTAACCACCCTAATAGAGACAAAGTTTGAAAATGACACAAAGGCAGTGGTGTTCTAATGCTTCCACTTTCAGGCTGTGTCTCTTTCAATCTTCTATTCACTGAGTAACACATTTAATCCTTTTAGAAAATTTTCTTCTGGTCAAGTATGGGCTGAAATTATGAAACCATTCTTCTCTTGCCTTGCATTACTCTGATTAGTTTGTGCGGTGAGTTCCTGCCCTTGATGCGTAGGCATTACTTTATGTGAAGCCAATGGAAGCTTTGGCTGCCTTAAGGATTATGGGTTAAGGCCCTGCATTTGTACTGGTTTACGCCACTGTATGACCTAAATGAGATTAGAATAATAAATCCTGATTTATTATGAGGGTTTTATTTAGACATGTTTTGAGTATGAGGTCTGTGTCAGGATTAATAGTGAAATCTAACATGCCCAGGCACAGAGAAAGCCCAACAATGAAAGGACATTTTTTCCCTTGAGAAAACTGGTTCCCAGCCTTCTGTTTGGCTTTTAACAGAGTTGCTAAATGTTGAATGGCACAGAGGTGCTGGATCCCAACGATGGTGACGTAGTCCATGACTTGGAGATGAGCCCATTCCAAACGAAGGACAGAAGTATCCCATCAGAAGTGATTTCCAAGGCTAAGTATTCATGCTCTGCAATGCAGTAGCATTGAAAAGGCTTCAAACAAGGTTCTCAGAATCCAAAGACAAATGAGAAATTACAGGTTTAGGATTTTCCAGCTAACTCATCTGTCATGTTGAATGGGCACAGGTTTAGGTGCCTGCCCAGTAGTTAAATCAGATTGATGAATTTGTTCCGAGGGAATGTCCGTTGTTTTCAGCATCCTGGCCACCATGTCTCATCAGGAAATGTGATATCGTGTGATGTAATGCACCAAATTGCATTGGCCTTAGTATCAGATGCAGAAGGTGTGTGTTTACATCACATAGTTAAATTTCTCTATTCTAATAGCCCCATTACAAGAAGCTTCAGAAGTATTTGCCTTTCCAAAAGGGGAAAATTTAAATGAGGGGAGTGCAGGGACTTGAGCTGGTACTTTTGTGAGATACAAAATGAAAGGTGCAAGAAGGAGGTAAGGAGGTGTAAGTGTTGTGAAGAATTTGGGTGTATTAAATGATAATGAATACCACAGTAACTCTACCCTTTGTCTAATTCAAAGAGTCTTAATAGTCTCACTCTCCAACAACTACTTGACAGATCTTTTTCAACATCAGATTTTTGTCTCACTTGGTTTTTCTTAAAAGGTTCAGGAAGAATTATTTCCTTCAAAATGTTGTTGTTGAATTTTGTAATCATAGGCGTCATGGGGTGCGGAGCAAAAGAAAATGCTGAACCATAATGCCATTTTATTTTTCTTTGGTTTGGCAAGATGCCTGTCTATCTTGCAACCTCTCCTGGTACATCTCAGCTGGGGTGGAACTGAATGGAATGGCCTCACAATTTTTCAGATAATTTTAGAGAAAAGCAATTTTTGAAGAAGGGTGGACTTTAACATCCAGCAATAATACTTTACTTAGTACTTCACATTTAAACCACGAGAGCCTGACAGTCATGAGAAACACAATCCAAGAAATCATGAAGCCTCAAGAATGAAAAAACTTGCCCATGTAACTAAGGACAAATTCTCTGGATTTCCACAATAATAGTATCAAATGTGAAGATGGTTCACTATCTAACAAAATCTTAAATTATTTTCTTCCCTTCTTAGAAGCACTCTTTTCTGCAAAATCCTTTCTAAAAGACTTCTAGAACTACACACTAGTGAGAGTCATTAGGTGCAGGGTCCTTTAGCACAGTGATTCACTAACAGTCTTACCAGCAAATTCATTAACTGCAAGTGACATCAAAGATGAGAACTTGAGACCTCTTTGCACAGCAGCAGTTTAACTTGCAGAATCCAGGCACATTATGTTATCCACTTTTGTTCATTTCCAGTCAAATAGCAATGGGACAGCCTAGATAAGCAACTTTTTGAACCCTGGAGGTCCACTCAAGATTATTTCTTTGAGCAATGGCCCTTAGAAACAAAACAGTAACAAACAGTTCATTTGGAATTACCCAACATCCCTGGACAGCAGCAGGAGTGTGCTGAAGACCAAGCATTGGCTGAGCTTCTTAAACACTGAAGAACTACGTGGGAAATTTGATCTATTAGGAAGTTTCTTATAATGCTGCAATGCAGAGTTTCACAACCAACCTTTGCTCACCTGCTGGCAAGGGCACGTGTCCGTGATGCAGTCTGTGCGACCACCGTTCTTTGCTGTCCCTTGGCAGCACCTGACCAAGAGAGCACCCATTTTCTTTAGTTGTTTACAACGTGCTGCCCACGAAGCGTGAGTTGGCAATCACATCCACAAGGGCACTAAGGGAAATCTGCAGCTGGTTGAGCAGAAGTGGACGCTTGCTTCCCTGTACATTTTATAGTATACCTCAGGCATGTGGCAGTCTTAAAATCCTGGTGGTTTTGCTGAAGGCGCGTTGCGGAAGCCTTTCCCCTCACGTAACAGGTTAAAGACTTATAGCACAAGCTGTGAAGAGTTGTTATAGGTCACTGATAAAAAGCAATGCAGTGCTTATGGTCATTGTGGGTTAATGTTAGCCACAAGCATAATCAGAAAGTTTGTGCTGAGAGCAGAGAGGTGCTGTGTAACACACTGAATTTGTTATTGCTGTACTATGTCCTCTAGATAGTGGATGTGTGCGCTGGGCTTGTGGAGGCTGAGGGATATACAAGGCTGGCCTACCACTGGAACTGAAGAAGGTTAGGAAGATGTTTTCCTTGTCTGCTAGAAGGAAGTATGTATCAATATAGGGGAGATGTTTTCCTGATCTGGGAGATGGAGCCTTCTGTAGTATGTACTAAAATATAACTTATTGTATCTGTTCTGTTTGTTATGCGTATTGTCTAAACTCCCGTTCAAGCCCTTTATCTTCCCTACCTTTACCTAATGAACATTATGGCCTGAGCACAGGCAGCTTCTTTGACAAATTTGCTTCAGTAACTGCTCAGTTTTCCATTTTCTACCCTGGTATAAAGTAAATTTTACCTTTTTTTTTGTTCTTGTTGTTCAAGGAAATACACAGGATCTAGGAGCAGGTGCTAATTTAAGACTAAGTCCAAGTTTATTTATGTTGAAGCCATAAAATCCTCCTTCTGTGCAAACTATAGCATACCTCTGTACATGCACAGGGTTTTTAGTGCTTGGACATTTCTTATCCTCTCTCCTCTTTCCCATATTCACTCTGCATTCTGCATATTTCTGTATATAGTCAAATTGACAGTCGCCCAGTGCTGTGTATCACCCTGCTTCTGTAAGCTGTTTATCCAGGATTTCCAAAGCTGACTGCACCTGGTAAGGGTCTTAAAATCATATCTAGACACCTTAATCTGTGACCTGATTTACAGAAGCACTGAGAACCCACAAATCCCTTTGCAGTCAATGGGACCTGAGTTTGCTTAGCACCTTGAAAATCAAACTGCTTATGCTTCAGCACCTAACCATGAATTTTGGAACTTTAGCTTTAAGGGTTCAGCATGGGTATTTTTAGGGCAGTATGGGGTTCACTTAGAGATATTTTTAAATAACTATTGAAACGTACGTCTGCTTATTTATATTAATAAGCACAATTACAGTAATTGTCTTTTTCAACAAAATAGTAGTTCCTAACTCCTCTTGGTGCAAGGCATTAAGATGGAAATCATTATTTTAGTTGATACTCACTGTCAGTTTCTGCATACTATGTACAGTGTGTTAGTTCACTACATGAACTCTTTCACTAAAGGAATCTTTTTTCACTGCTCACCAGAATTGTGGGGTCCTCCCTGGGGATTGTTCCGAGTAATAAGCACTTCTTGTAATCAGCTTACTATAAATAATAGAGCAAAACATGGCTGTGCTCCAGCCATGATACCAAGGTATCTTTTAAAAACCTTGTTGTTTTATGGTATATGACGCTATACATGACGTGGAGAGATATGAAGCATTTCAACCATGCTATGAATGTCTAAAACACTCAGTTTCAGTTCTCAGTTCTCACCCCCGTGAGTCAAACCCATCAGCCTGTCATAGCACCTATTAATTTATAGATTTCATCCCAAGGGCACATCTGCACACTTGTGAGAAGGTGTGTCTGGTCAGCTGTTTCCACAGAGATGGTACAAATAACAACCAAGAAGAAAAGAACCTGTAGCTGCATGTATGCTTTGGTGAATTTGGGTATTAAGGGGGTTTTATTTGTTCCTGTATATGCTGTTTGGAAGCCCTGATGTGCCTTTTCTCCCATTTCAGTGAAATGTCTTATGTTACAAGAAAAAGAAGAAACTGAATGTGTTAGATTTGCCTGCAAATTGTGTGTTTCTTTATAAACACAAAGGTTTCTGCAATGCTGAGCTGAATTGTTACAGCTTACTAGAGCAGATTGAATTTCATGAATACTTGAAGGTGCTTAAAATGATTTCTAACAAAATGCAGCAAAATGAAGTACTTGTTAAACAGGAAACAAAACAAAACAAAACCAAAAAAATCCTACAAAGATATGATGTGGCTACCACTGGGAAAATGTCAGGTACTTGCTTCTTGTAGAAAATAGAACATTACTTAACTGATTTAAAATCCAGATAATTTTCCTTAGGAAGAAAATCAGCAGTAAGCTGTCCAGAGGCTGGCGAATTTCTTTGTTTCTTAAGGATGGTAAAGATTTGTGCAGAGACATCAGCAAAGAGCAGCTTTCTGAGCTGTTCCCTGCCAATTGCTGACAAAGGCAGTCCTAATGAATCATTCTGAATTGTGATCATGTGCTACCAGCCCACAGTGAGCTGCCAAAGAGGAAGTGCAGCTTGTTTTCTTTCATTTTCTTGATTCCTATGCTGTAGGAAGATGAAAGGAGAAGGAGGAGGAGGCAACAGCGGCAGCCAAACTTAATAAATAATTCTGACGATTCCTGATATCAAATGGAGGCCCCAGAGTGGGACCCACTGAAAAATGACACCCTTCCGCCGACCCTGACGCCAGCTGTCCCTCCGTATGTGAAGTTGGGCCTGACCATTGTATATACTGTTTTTTATTCACTGCTTTTTGTGTTCATCTACGTTCAGCTCTGGCTGGTCCTTCACTACAGGCACAAGAGGTTCAGTTACCAAACTGTCTTTCTGTTTCTGTGCTTGTTTTGGGCCTCTCTTAGGACAGTGCTCTTTTCATTTTACTTCAAAGACTTTGTTACAGCAAATTCTCTCAGCCCCTTCATCTTCTGGCTTCTCTATTGCTTCCCAGTCTGCCTCCAGTTTTTCACCCTGACCCTGATGAATCTTTACTTCACACAGGTAAGCAACAGATATTTGATTGATTAAATCTGACAGAATGGTAAAGCAGTATTTTGTAAGAATCGTGAGAATAATGTAATTTACAAATGTACCTTGGCAGTGCAAAAAGCAAATTTTGGTTATTTAGTTGTTTATTTTAACTTTTGGTCTATATGCAAGTGACCAGTGTTACAATGAAACTGGAGCCTAAAGTGATCATTGTAGGAATGGCAATTAATATACCTACTGTCTATAAAATGGATGTCATTTAATTTTAAGGTTGGGGAAAAAACGTATAGGAGAGCTTGAAAGCTTGGCACTCAAAATGCCATTCTATTATTATGCTTTATTTTTGTTGTTGTTATTAGACTTTATAAACCTCCTGGCTTACCAGACTTGATCTCTGTGTGCAGTCAGAATTGTTATTTCTAATTTTGCCAGCAACCCCCTCCACATCCTAGTTTTTCTTAAGTTAGCTAGCAGGTTTCTGAGTGAGATTTCTATGTGTGTCACAGTTAAAACTGTTGATCAAGTCCTACTGCGGACCCAAATTTCTATACTTATCAGTATTACAAACAGATTTGACTCTGGACGCCAATAAGTGCTGTGTGCTGTACAGAGATACACCCTCTATTTCAAGGACTCTCTGATGTAAAGGTAAATTAACTGTACAGGAAATAGTATCATAATTTCAGAAATAGCTCCTGGTAGAGTTTATCTGTGCCACTGACAGCTAAGGAGCCAGATGAGTTAGGCTGCACAGTGCTCCAGGTTGCTGCAGTTAGAATTGCTTGGAAATATTTATGGTGAGCTTGGGTATCTTGCACTGGGCTGCAGGGTGGGATATTGGCATGCTGAGGCAAAGAAAGACTGCTGGGCTTGCCTAAGGTTGCACAGGAAGGTTGCAGGAGGGCAGAGACTGGGTTCTCTATCTCCTTAATCCCACTGTAGTGCCTGGAGCAGGATGCCAAGCCCGCACCCAGATGACCCTCGTCAAAGTCCACTTTCTCAGTGCAGGAGCAGTTGGTCAGGAGAGCATTAGCCAGCCCTGGAGCACAACAGGCAGTGCTCAGGATGCTCTGGGAGTTACTGTGTGCCCCACTTGGAACCAGATTGGTACTGGGGTCTGGGTGTTTCTTTAGTCCCCATGGTGTTTAACAGTGCTCTGTAGTGATGACAGGCCTATCAGTTCTGAATAGCCTGTCTGGAGAGATGAGCTGCTTGTAAGACCTGCCATCCCAGAGCTGAAAAAGCAGCAATGTAAGCATGACAGCTGTAAGAAGATCACTTGAGTTGCAGAGGGTATTAAATACTTAGAACCACATGCACAGTTTTGTGCTTAGGTTTACTGCTCTGGATTCAGTGTCTGAAACACCTGCTAACTCACCCTGCTCCACTCCCTGGGACTTGAGATATATTAAGGGATTACAGGAACCTTTCATCTACACACTACTCAAATCCAGCTCAGGCATGTGGTGACCTTTGCTTTATCCCACAGCCATTGTGAGGGTTATTTGATAACTGCACAGTTTCCCAGGGCCAAACGTCCATCATCACACAGTCCGTCCCCATCATAGTGCCGGGACTAAGTCGTAGCCTTAAGTCAGATCCTTCCCTCAGACACACAGGTAGGGCTGCCGTGGAAGTTGGCAGGCAGAATGCAGCATCCTGGCTCTGGGCCAAGAGAAGCTGAGGCTGCGAGCACAGAGGGGGCACAGCAGTCTCTGCATTAGAGTGTCAGCATTCAGGAGGCTTAGTGTCGTGGGTAACATTCATTTTGTCTAAGGAAGACCTAAAAAGAGAGCACACAGAATGCACACGTATGTCCTTTCAACTTATTTTTAGCATTGCTGTCTGATAGTATTCAGGAAGCGCAAGGTTTTTTTTTCTGTTGGAAACAGAAAAAATGCTAAGGCAAATGTTCTGCCTTTGAGACAATTCCTGCTTTGTCAGCCTGAGTTTTCATGATCTTCCTCTGGGCCCCTCTGCAAAAGAGTGTAATAGTTACCTATCTTGAGGGCTGTTGCAAGTCTTTTGAAACAATATTTGCAAGGCACTTTCAGAGTCTGTGGTGTGCATCATAATCTTTAAATACCATAGGCCACTTTAGACAGGCATAAGATTAGTATTGTTGTTTGCTCCAGAGCTGGTTGCTGTCAGTGAAATCTCCTCTCAAATATCTCCCCAGATGAAAAAAAGCTTTAAGAAGTACAAACACAGCCATTGTATAAATATAATATGACACAGAATAAGTGCACATATTTTTAATTCACTGCTATTAATTCTTTACTTCTAACCATTAAAAGGTGGTTTGGCTTGAAATTCAGCATCTTGTATTTAATGTACATCTAGCTTTCCACAGTAGGCAAGCAAGAACTAGTGTGAAAGGGGTGGGGAGAGAAAATTTTGTTTTCAGTAATGGCTTATAACTTCACAGACCTGTTCAGAAACAACTTTTGTCCTTTTATTCTCTAGAAGGTGGGCAAGAAGGGTCTCTTTGCATGAAAACCTTGCTATTTCACTGGTGCTTAGCCAGAGGGAAAGAAGTGATCTGTGTATAGTATAGGGATAGAGGACTGGAAGAGACCCCATGAGTCTCTGGAATTTGCAGGTATTTATTATCTGCTCTACAGCACCCACCATTTCTATATGTAGCACTGATAGGGAAACTTTCAAACATAGATGTGAAAAGGAAAAACGTTATTAAAAAAATACTGCAAATCCTCCTGGCCAAACAAAAAAACTCATTTGGCAAGGGCCTGAGGGTATTTTTCAAAATAATAAGCACCTTTGAACTTGACAGAGAGTTAGCCACAGCTATTCTCTTTTTTTAATATGTATCCCAAAGCAATAGGGAAATTTTAACTGTGTTTTATGTGTAGCAAGACAAATAAGCCCTGATGATGTCAGCACAGTGGAGTTTTGTTCCCAGACTTGAGCATCAGCAGCCGCAGCAGAAGAAGCTGCAATGTGTTGAGGCAGGTTGCTAAAGCAGGGGACCTATAAGCAAAAGGGAAGTTAGAATCAAAATAGTTTTGACCCGGAACAAGGGATCTTTGGATTAAGAGCCCAGTTCAGGGTCCTTTGCTACAGTTTTCATTCTGCCCTACTTAGGGCAGAATAGAAAAGGTGCTGCAGATAAGGCTTATATAATATTAGTTCCTCTCAGAAATCCCATACTGGAGAAAATGAATGTGATTTCTAATGAAATAACTAAATATATTAGAATCTATTAATCCTCTGTCTGTATTCATTCTCTTCTAAAGAAAAAATAATAATGTGACCTATCCTCTCAAGAAGGTAGACCCTCTGTCTACTTGAAAATCATTAATCTTAATTGAAGATGAGATTCAGTGGCATCTCTGTAAAACAATAGCATGACAAGAGCAAGTAACTGCACTGTATCAAGCCACAGCAACTCCATGATCCTGATCCATCAGATAAGGAGCTGAAGTGTGAATTTCCACCTAGAGACACCAAAAATCCCATAGATATGTTTGCCTTACATGCGCAGCTTCCATGTGTCTATTTTGCTGCTTGATAACATATTTTCCATTTTAAAGTGGAAAAGACAGCGAAGATCCTACAACTTGGGCACTCTTTCATTTATCTTCCCTGCCCCTGCCAAGGGGAGACTGAGTTGAGTCCTCAGACTTTTCAGTTAGTGCTGTGGGCAAAAGAGTAAAGAGGCTCTGGGAAACAACATTAGTTGCCTTTTTTGGTGCATGTGAGGGGTGGGCAGAGAAGGACTTGCTTCACTTTGTCCTGTTTGCTCAGACTTTGCATTTCCCTGGGGAACAGAATACAAATGAAGCAGGAGGGAGGCTAGGATGAAGGGTTACAGACTCAAAGAACAAGGTCAGGGCCAAAGACCGTGAGCTATAGAGGACACTGAAAATCCCAGACCAGGCACAGCAAACAATTTGGTGAACTGTAGGTTTCATCATTAGGTTGGGAAATTCTCCAGGACCTAGAGAAAGTAGAGCTGAGCTAAAGAGGTGAGAGACTGTATGGGTGGAGAAGGGCTGGTAGGCAGATTTTACCTCTCCTTCCTCCTCCCTAACTATCTTCCCTTTTCTCTGGCATCCACATTGAGAAGCTTACCCTGCCTTCCAGGCAGAGCTGATAAAATCAGGGACTTTCAAATCAAGAGAAATTGTACAGAATAAGACAGTGCAGAGAGGAGCCGGCCATGCCAGAACTGCCTGGCAAGGTGGGGTAGAAATAACACAAGGCTTTCGGAGAGTTTACGTGTATCTTGGTGGAACTGGGGTACGTGTTAGCTCAGGGGGGAAAATTAAGGGAATTTTTCATACTCTAATTATTGAGGATAGCATTTCAAAAGTTCTCACCAGTGAGAGGACAGAGAGGGCTTTTTATTTAGGAGAAATATTTTGAGGGTTTTTAGTAGAAATAAACAAACCATATATTATAAAGCTTATTATTAATTTAAACATGCTTTAGATGTACATAGAACTACAGAGGAGTCTAACTACATATGGTAAAGCATGGGCAAACATATTTGCTTTAAAATGTTGTCCTTACTATTGTATCTACAGAAGACAAATAGCAACTGCAGACTGGCTGGCTGTCAGCATCTGACATGAAGAATGAGATCATTTGACTTGGAAAATAATTTGATAGGAAAGCTACACATGAAAATTTACTGTGGCTGTCAGCCCCACAATCATCCCTGTCCTTTTAGGACTATTTTTACCAATTTACAGAAGACTGAATGTGGTAGTGAGTCACGATGCCCAACTCTGTAAGCCTTACAAACTGTGTAGAGTTTAGAGAGCAGAGAGAAAACTTGCCTATTTTGGGAACTCTGAGCCAAATGAAAGAATGAACGTGGGAGAAAGAGAGAAAGGGGAAGGTGGGCCTTGTCCTGGAAGATACACAGCAGAAGAAAGGTATATGTATTGTTGATGAAGGGCTCTGGGCCTGCATGAGGTTGTAGCAGATTTTCAAGGCTCAAAGAGAAGTTTGCATGGCACATGAAAGAGGAAGAGTGGAACCATGTTGAAAGGAACTGGGAAGGAAAAGTATATGCTATGCTTCTTATAAGGTTTTTGAAAGGAGAAGTGTTAAATAAAGTTGAACCTCATTCCTGTGCAGAGGGCCAGCTTGAGGCATATGCAAGCACTTGTCACATACCTGAGGCCTTTTGGTAAGCTGAGCTGTGGTTCCTGTGAGTGTGACTTGATCAGCTAGCACTGGAGGTACAGTAGAGGTTTGTGCCAGCATCACTCCTGCTAAATCAGAGCATGGACCTAAAATTTCTTCGGGGAGATTTTCTTTTTCTTTTGGGAATATCTGGCTTGGCTTTGACACCAGTTTCATTGGTACTTGTACAGCCAAAGCGGCTCCTGATTGATGTTCATAACCATATGGAACCCCCATTAGCTGAAACAGCCTGGCCCTGTCTGCTTACTCTTCTGCCCAGCAGCTCTGCAGAGCTCTCTGCAACTGAGCTGCTGATGGGCTCCCATGCCACCCCCACTGCTGGGACCTGGTAAAATGCCTTTGAGGTCAGCTGTTTACATCAGTTCCTGCAATGGGAATTTTTTCAGGCTGTATGAAGAGCTTTCTGGAGTCCTTTTGAACTGCTGCAGTTTTCTATGCCAGACATATACCTCAGGGGAGTGGAGGAGGGAGTGTGAGAATCTCATTTGAGGTTTCCAATCCTTTGGCAAAAACAAGGAGTCAAAACAGGATATTTCTCCTTCAAAGAACAAGCAAAGGGGAAAGACTTTTAAGAAGAAAAAGTAACCCTTTAGACATTAGCAAATTAGCAAGTATTTTTACTGAGTTTTCCGTGTTGCTGCTCATCTTTGGGCTCTCTGAAAGATTGCTTTAAAAGAGCCTGCCTTCTGCTTGCTGTTTAATCTATTCTTAGGAATAGTCTGGTTTGCTCTGGTTTGCTGGAAGACTTGCTTATATGACTCAGATATTGACTAGAAGCTTTCTCAACACTGCTGTGGGGAGGGGCCATTGAGCAACCAGTCTCTTGAGCTAAATGCCTGTTAAAAGAAAAAGCTGCACCCACGCACGTAAGGTATATTGAGATCAGCTTCTGACATCCCTACTCCCACTGAGCAGCCCTTTAATCTCTGACAATCACACTGCTTCCAGCAAGGCTACTCATGAACTAAGGCCATATCAGTGTTTAATCAAAGGTGGCAGAACTTGGTTGCCTGTGTTTCTGCCTAGCAGTGAATTGGTCAGAATTGTCCATACTGTAGCTTTGATTCTGTACAACATTTGCTGTACAGTGCTTATTTTCTTTCTTAATGGTCATTTTGCTCTGATAAAATTCTGAATATTTATGGCTGACATGTCCACCAAATGTAAAATCACAGTAACAGCTGTTTCGGTGATCTTGAATCTGGAGATCCTGATAGATCTGCAGCAGGGGCATCATGTTTGGTTTTAGCTAAGTTATCCATGGAGATTTTGCTGGGTAGTGCAGTCTTGGATAGGTTTATGTGACAGGACTGCTCTGTGACGTTACAGGGATGAGTGGATCATTTCTGGGGAAACCCAGGAGATGGTATTTAGAAACTTGAAATTTTCTGTGTTTTTTGAACTCAGAACAACGCATTACCTACTGGAAATTTCTTGACCCTTGCAGTTTTTTGCAGAGGCTCTGAACTCTTCTGTTCAGTGCAACTCCTGAAAGCTGTCAAAATTAACGGTACAATATATGTGAGTAAGTGCTACTCACAACAGGTGAGGATTGTGGAATGGCCCTAGAGACAAGTTTTACTTGTTTAGTTTCATTGAGGTCAGGGATCTGTTCCCTCCTGCTTTCTCACAGTTTCTTCCAGAATAGGCAGGGTAGGCAGTAAGTCTTGTACAAAACTATGTGGAAAGTGTTTTGAACCACATCTTCTCTAAAAGTGATAGCTACTCTTTATGCACAGCAAAAATGCAGAACATTCACAAGGCTCTTGTACCTCTCCTTTCAATAGCAGGAGAGGTAAAACAACATAAACCAACATAAAACTTCCTGAACTCCTATGAGATTTCATGACCCAGGAATTTGGAGAAAGAATCACAGAAATCTTCGGTAAGGGATACTGCCAGATCTATTTGAAAACAGTATCAAAGGTTGAAGAATATTTTTAGAGATATTTTTTTTCCCCAAGTTTTCAATTTTATTCTCAGCCTGCTGAAAAGCTCAGTGTTCTCTGCTGCTTCAGCTAGTGCTAAGCAGGCTGATGCGTCACAAAAGAAATTTCCATGTCAAGGCAGCTGTTTATGGTGAATAGAAGTTAAATGACAAGTTGTTCCAGGAGCACTGGAACAAGTGGAGCCTGATTTTCTCCAGATCTATGTCTCATGATTGACTTTGTTTCCATAACTGGAGCATTTCTTACAATATTTTGCTATGCAGACTCATATTGGGTGGTGTGTGGAATCATTATGCAGGGCTCTCCTCACTGAGATCACAAATCAGATGCATTTTTAGTCTCTTCTTTCTGTAGAGTGACTAATTTTTTAGGAGGGTGATAAAGGATCATGCCTTTGATACTTCAAGTATTTTCCTATCAATTCTCTGACAAGAGTATTTTAAGACTAGTAAAGGACCGATAAACAGATTGACAGGCAGACACACGCCTACACGTACATTGTGATCATGTAAATCCTGTTTCCTTGGGAAAGCATGATAATCATAGCAAATATTATGCGAAAGTTACTAAAGGGCATGCAAAACCAAGTTAAATGAATAAGGCAGGATAACTTGAGGAGAAAATGATTAGGAAACAACACAGAATAAGTCACACAGCATGGAGGTTTTGTAATACTAGCAACCAGTGTGCTTTGTTATTGGTTTAAATGAACATTTGTGAGCTGAGTTTGTTTGGAAACCATGTTAGCTTGTAAAAAAAAGTGGTGATGCTTTCCTCTAATTTTTTAATAATCTAGATATAAAATATGGTAATATATTTTTGTCTAATTTCTGATGGTGGTTAAACACCTGTGACTGATATTACCTAGCTACAGAAAATGTGTCAGTATTTTGTCTTTCCTGTTGCATCAAGCTGATTGCTGGGCCCGGGCTATCTCTATAAAAGCACTATATTGTTGCATGGTGAAGAGGCAGTCAACAGAAGCCAAATAGAACCTTGAAGTGAAATAATGAGTTTGGTTCTTGATGGCATCTTTTTGGTAACTGAGATGGATACAAACTTCGGGCCAGGGTACTATGATGGGCTCTACATGGGAACAGAGCATTGGACCTGGTATGAGTTGGTCTGTGTGAGAGACATGGACTGTTAGGTCATGTAAGAGCCTATAATAATTTGCCTCTATGATTTTATTGGCATTGATGCTCTTGTGAATACTGGTATAAAGGATCTTATTCCTAAGCCAGAATAAGTGAAAATAATAGTGCAGATAATTTGTACACAAGTACATCATGAACACTTGCTGAGTGGTTTTAATACTTTACTTAGAGTTTGCCTGCCATGGGCAAGCGATCCGTGCAAATCTGTTGTGTAATGAAACCTGTCATTACATTTTTTGTGACCTGTGAGACACGATTTCTGTGGATCACAATGTCTTTCTCTACTGACATATAAGATATGTTTGATGCAATATTTTTTGTTTTACAGGTGATTTTCAAAGCAAAGTCAAAATATTCCCCAGAGCTACTGAAATACAGGTAAGAACTATGCAAGCATTTAATGTGGCACAGAAGAGTAGCCAAGCACTTTGAGAAATGATACAACTTTTCTAATTTGTGGCACTCATATCTCAGCTATTCATATTTATATACCAATGTTTTACAATGACGGTTCTGGGGTCAGCTTCTTCCTATGACATTTGGAAGACTGTCCTTTCCCAACACAAGGACCATTTTAGATAGTCACATATTTCAAAGGCAAATATTTCAAATACAAGCAGAAAGCTCCCACCCTGTCAATTTGTTTACAGGTTCTTAACATTTATATTGCTAGGTAAATTCAGATCCAGGGCTTTGGTAAAAGAAGCAAAATGATGTGGGTTTTTTTGACAGGAATGAGTATGTTTTGTGAGTATGTTTTAACATGTGGTGAGGTCAGTGGTAATAAGAGACAGAAGTTTTGGGAAGATGAAAGAAGGATTGTGAAGGGAAAGAGCTGGAGAGAATGGATTCAAATTGATGGTGTGTTTGGAAGCTCACACATAACCTCCCCTGACTCCATATAGCTGAGGTTATGATAGCTTTGCATTTAGATGGGGAGATTTGTTTGACATCTTGTTGAGCAGGAGGAACTCCCAGGAAGTACTTGAAAGTACACCAAATGTCCAGAAAGCTAAGGAAGAGCTCAATAAATTAATGTTTATTTGTGGAAATGCTTAAAAACCTCAGTTGGGCAATGTTGTTTAGACAGAGGGGACAGAGAGAGGTTGTCTCCATTCTAAAGAAAGAATTTACAATATGCATTCAGGATAGGAAAACAGAATAATTTGAAATAGAAATCTGACTTGTTACTTGCTGACTGTTAGGAGGACATAAGTACTGTATCAACAGGGCAAATATTAACATTGTCCTTGCCCTAGAAAGTTTGTCTTCCGATTGGTTTTGATACAGCTCGAGGGGCAATTGTCTGGAGCAAATACTTCAGGAACCATGTCTGGTATAATGGCAGTACAAGCGAGAACAGGCATGGAGTGGGCTGTGCTTGATCTGGTGAGGGCATGGGACATGCAGGATGTGACGGCTGCCTCAGGAGTGTGTACTTCAGGCTGAACCGCAGCTTTGAAACCCCCTTTGCACTCTGGTTTCTGTGGGCAGGAAATTCAGGAGTATGGGCTGGAAGACAAGCACAGCACACTCCAGGCATGTCTCCAGCCAGCCCCCAGTGCAAGTGTGCCTGACCCTGATGGTGCACACAGGCAAGAGAAACAGAGGATCACTTTGCAGAAAGCCTGGTCTGCAGGTCAGGGTGATACAAGACTGTGCAGACATGTTTCTGGATGGGGTGAGAGCTTGAAGCTTTGAACCTCATCTGTTACCAGTATTTGTGTCAAGGCTTTATTTCTAAAAGCTGCTTGAAAATGTCTTTCTTGAGGCAAAGGGAGCTTGTGATATTTAGTCAATGCCTGTGAAGTGACATTAGCACCTGCATGTAGCTCTTGGAGTGTTTCCATTCCTAAATATTTATTATGTATTGTGACTGGAATTACTCATACACGCTCCCCACAATAGCTGCGTGTCCACCCTGACTCTTGCCTACTGCATTTCTCATACAGATCACTCTTGGATATGGTATAGTTTTTTCTTTCTTATTCAGCTCTGTTGGTAAAGGTTTTCAGTTGTATTTTATTTTAATATCTAGATCTCTTAGCATGAATGTCTAAAAGAGCCACATAAATAAAGCTGACCTGGCTTCCTGTCTTATACTGGGCAATTGAAGGGGTGTAAGACGTGCACACCCACAGCTGAGGTCCTGAATCTTAATTGTAATAGGCTAGTGAAAGATGACAGACTCACAGAGTGGTTTGGGTTGGAAGGGACCTTTAAAGGTCATCTAGTCCAACACCTGCCCCTTGGACAGGGAAATCTTTCATTAGATCAGGTTGCTCAAATCCTGAGGTAGAAATGGGTGATGGATCATAGAAAGATCTGAGGCCTACAGACAGGTCTGTAGTCTGCACTTACTGAATCTGATTTTTTTCGTTACTGAATGTTCACTCTTTGATTTCCCCTACCCCCTCCCATTTTCTTTAATAAGTGTCGGACTTTATTGCCTGGTATTGGCATTTTTGCAATAGATAATGGCAACACAAATGGGACAATGCAAGATCTATGTATTGACACAGGTCTCGGAAATCAGAAATACTTTAGCTATCAAAAAAAAAAAAAAAAAAAAAAAAAAAATTTGATAAAATCCTTTCAGGGATCCAGAATCTTAAGCAAACTTTACTCATCACAGTCTTCATGATATTAGTAAAAGATCTCAAGGTAAAGTCAGGGTGCAACTCAACCTGATATTTAAACAGTACCTCTGCATGTCTTCCTGGGCTTGGATATTTCTTACTGTCACTGGGTTTGGATCAGGTTTGCTGTGCTATATGTGCATGTGCAAGCCTCAGACACTGCGTGGTTTTAGGAGAAACCAAATACAAAATGCAGTAATTTCAAACAGATTTTCCTGTTAATCAAGGGAAATCTCGCTGCATTTATCTGAGTTTTGATTTTAAGCTCAAAGAAAAACTTATGGATGCCTCCAACCTGACACAGAAAGAACAGAACGCTCAGGCACATGCCTTCCCCAGCCAAACCAGATTACACACAGCTCCTTTAAAGGGACTAGTCCCAAAGTGGGGATTAGGCACAACAGGCTTTTGAACTTTTGCTTGCATTTGCACTGGTGCAATCTGGAAGCACCTCTCCTGTCCCGCTGTTTTGTTTTCTAAAAAAACTCCACATGCTTCTTCATGCCTTGTACGTGCCCTTGTAGTTGAGCTGTAAAGTTACTTTCTGCCTGTAATCTTCAGCTGCTGAGACCCTACAACTGCCCTGAGAGAGACACCCTGCATCTCCATCAGTGCTTATTCATAAGTTCAGCAACAATGCTTCTATTGTCAAATCAGGCAGCCAATTCCCCAGACACATCATGTTAATAAGGGGGCTGGAAGATCATTATGTGAAGAGCTGCTCAAGTGACTGGCCATGACAGCTCACCCTGGCACGTACAGGAGTGTGTGGACACGAGAGCATGACAGTGCTTTATTTTTTTACTAAACTCTGTCAAGGGGGAGCCTGGCCTGGAAACCTCTAAGCTCCTGATAGCTGCAAAACAGCTTGATGCTGCAAGCAGGCTTGCAGGCTGTTCTGCAGCAAGAGGTCCTTCTGACTACTTTGAGCAAAAAGAGAGTGTGTACTTACTCAAGTCCCACAAGCAAAACAGCATGTAAGAGCGTACCTTTCCTTGTAAGCCCAAATCCCCACCAGGGGAGTAGAGATGAGACTGTTAAATAACCTTTGGAAGGGGAAGGAAAGGGAGACACATGACCACTATTTAAAGACTTTTGAGATACTAAATAAAAGCTGTAAATGTGCCACCATTACAACTGGGAACTACATTCTCTGGAGGAAGCCACATAAGAGAGGAGTTTCAGGACTACAGTGCTTCCAGCATTAGACTATGAGGTTTTAAAAACTACATTCTCCAGCTGCTTATCCTAAAAACAGAACCCTGCCCTGGAAAGTTAAGAATGAGCACAAACTTCCCCCGAGAGGGAGTTTCCATGCCTGGCAAGGAAAAATCGTCATCCTTGCTCACTGCCAGATATAACTGTAAAGAAGGGCACTGATTCACAAGCAGCAGCTTTTGGGCTTTCAGTTCCCCTGTTAGACATTTAAAAGGTCTCAAAGATATACACCCTCCTTTCTTGCACTCTGAAGAGAAGCCAGTTACGCTTCAGTTTTGTAGCTGCACTGATGCTAAACCAAAAGAATCACAGAGTCAAGAATATGCTGAGTTGGAAGGGATCCACAAGGATCATCAAGTACAACCCTTAGACCTGCACAGGCCCAGCCCCCAGAGTCACACAGTGTTCCTGAGAGTATCATCCAAACGCTTCTTGAAATCTGTCAGGCCTGATGCTGTAACCACTTCTTTGGGGAGCCTTTTCCAGTGCCCATATCCAACCTAAACCTCTCCTGGCACAACGGCATGCCAGAGAAGAGATCAGTGCCTGCCTCTTTGCTTCCCCTCACAAGGAAGTTGTAGACTACAATGAGGTGTCCCCTCAGTCTCCTCTTCTTTTTGGTTGAACAGACCAAGAGACCTCAGCCACTCCTCATACAGCTTCCCCTCAAGGCCCTTCACCATCTTTGTTGCCCTCCTTTGGACACTCTCTAACAGCTTAATATCTTTCTTATATTGTGGTGCCCAAAACTGCACACAATATTCCAGGTGAGGCCACCCCAGTGCAGAGCAGACTGGGACAATCCCCTCACTCAGCTGACTGGGGATGCTTTGCGTGGTGCCCCCAGGACACAGTTGGCTCTCCTGGCTGCCAGGGCACTGCTGACTCATATTCCACTTGCCATCGACCAGGACTCCTAGATCCCTTTCCGTGACACTGCTTTCCTGATCTGTATATACATCCAGGGTTGTCCCTTCCCAGGTGCAGAATCCAGCACTTTCCCTTGTTCAGCTTCATGTGGTTGGTGATTGCTCAATCCTCTAATTTGCTGAGGTCTTTCTGCAAGACCTCCCTGCCTTCCAGGTAGTCAACAGCCCCTCCAAGTTTTGTGTCATCTGCAAACTTGCTTAGTATCCCCTCCAGTCCCACATCCCAGTCATTTATGAAGATGTCAAAGAGCACAGGGCCTGTGGAACACCACTAGTGATTATGAATGAAAAGAATATGAATGTGTGAAAGAAAAAGATGCCCACTGGATAAAGTATTTTTAAGCAATCGGAACTGGATTCCTCAGGGACAATCTGTATATTTGCTCTCAGCCAAATTCCAAGTTCCCAGCAGGCATGAAAAGCTGTGGCCAAAACCTCTTGTTCAGTGACTGCAGATTATGAACCTTATCAGTAATTGCCTTGGTCAGCAATGATAATGAAGTCAGCAAATACCTGAGATGGAAACATGCCTTTCTTTTTTTTTTTTTTAAGTGCAAAGCTCCCCAGCCTGTGTAGGAGTAAAGAGGAATTTAAAGCAGTTTTGCTGGAGTATGTGGTATACTTGTATTGCTGGTATCAGTGCTGGGTAGGTGGGAAAAAAAACAGATGGAGAAAATCAGTCCAAATCCTGGGCTTATGTTTGCCATATTTCTGTTCCAGCTCTACTTTTGTGGTTGTGGAAATGGACCTTTCTCCTGGTAGTGATGGCAAAATGCCAACCCAGAATCAATATACAGAGTTAAATTCATTTATGTCTCTTTCAAGAAGCTGACTGTGACCAAATTATTTAGAAAAAGGGAGGACAGAGAGAGATGCTGGGGAACCAGTAACTCAGAGGTTTTTCCTGCTGTTAGACACTTCTCTAATTTAATATGAAATCTGATGGCAAACATCAGCAGTCAGTGATTCTTCTCATGGCAGCAGTGGTGTAGTAAATCCAATACATGGTCAAAACCAGTCCTTTCCATGTAATTCAACCTTTTGAAAGGTTTCTCCTGGCAGCGAGTAGCCAGGCAGCTTATGCTGTATATGAAGTGCACACTCTCAGAAATTACATGTGTATTTAAAGCAGTTTTTAACAACCGTGCTGTTGTGTTTCTGCTGCAAACAGTCTTCCATGGTTTCCTGCTTGATACTAGTTTTTTTGTTTTTTTTTTTTTTTACTTACAGCTTGTTGTGTAACTGTAAAAACAGGTTTGAAATGAGCTAGGTTAATCTCTCCAGCAATCTGGAGCACTTTGATTTGAGCTCAGGCAGCTGGTTACTCTGTCATCTGTGGCAGCCCAACACATGCAGATTTCATTGCTCAGAGTGCAACTTTTGTCTCATGACTGACACTTGCTGAACAATGACACTAAAATTGTTTTCTCCTCGCTCTCCCAGGTTGCCCCTCTACCTGGCTTCTCTTTTCATAAGCCTCCTCTTCCTCTTGGTGAATTTAACATGTGCAGTATTGGTGAGGACACAGAATTCAGAGAGGAAAGTCATTGTCTCTGTCCGGGTGGCAATTAATGACACGTTGTTTGTGCTGTGTGCTGTTTCACTCTCCATCTGCCTGTATAAGATCTCCAAGATGTCTTTAGCCAACATTTACTTGGAGTCCAAGGTAAGGTACATTTTCAGTTCTTTTCAAGTACCTTCTGAGAGACAAGGACAATGTGACATAAAACCACACAGTCCTTTAGATTCCCTGAGAACTGGAGGCCTTAAACTTCCCAGCTTGCACTTGGCTGGCCATCCTGTTCAATATATGAGTGAAATACTAAGTGGTATCAAGGCAGCTTTTGGCTAGCACTAGAAATCCCAAATATTTCTGAGGCAGAGTTTGTAGAACTTACTGGCTGGAGTATCTCACAGTTCTTTTTCAAGTGGATACTGCTTTCTCCAGGTCCCTGTCTGAAGACCAGTTTATTTCAGTATTGCTAAATAGAAGTGGTCTATACTTTGGGACCCTTCAGCTTGTCAAATCGTTGATTAAGTTAACTTTTTAGGGTAGCAGCATGCTGAAGATAAGCCAGAGAAATATTCATTTCCCTTTATACATTTGTGTATTGTCCTATGAATATGTCCTGTTTTAAAAGACTTAATACATTATAATTTAGTCAACTGGGGAGAAGGGGTAAGAAGTTTCTGCTACTATTTACAGAACACTGTTTAAAGAAATGTTAGTTTTACAGCTTTGAACACATTTGGTGGTCAAGGAGCTGGGTGGGATCACATGAGCATGCAGGGTTTATTAGATAATCAGTGAAGATGTTTTGTATCTAAAAATAATGAAACAGGGCTTTCAAAGGTCCTTGCATTTGCAGTAGACAGTTAAATCTTAAATTATTAGTTTAGCTAATTGCCATTACCACAGCGAACCTTTAAAAATGTAAGCTTCAGCTGTTATTTAGAAAATCTGATAATAAAATTCCTCTCTCCATTTACTTAATCCGATGAAATAAGTACATTTCCTGTTTAATCAAATCTGGCCGTACTGCACAACAACTGAAAGTTCAGGGCTGAACAGAAGATTTAAAAACACGGCTTAGTTTGTTTTGTTTCTTTCAAACCTGTCATTTGCTGACCAAAGGGCACGGGCAATGGATTATTTTTACTAGTAAGAAGAGTTTTTCTGCTCCTGCAAGTCACAGAAATATAAATCTCTGTAAAAAAGCAGCGTTAACCAAAGGGAGGCTTTGGTAGACTACTTTGTTCCATTTCCTCCTGCGGGAAACCCAACCTCCTTTACTTCAAGCTATTTCACAAAACCCAAACAAAATCTAATATTATTGCAGAGAGGAAAGGACAGAATACTCAGCTGATAAAAGTTTGAATGTGGAAATGAAAATCAAGAGAGTGCTTTGCTCCTTTCTGCTGACCTGGAATGGGAGTTCCTCTGGGGATTTCCAGGAGGGTTTGACTGCATGTACTTTAGGGATACAGATGGCTGGAACTCTTATTGAAAAACATCCTGCTTTTATCTGCTACTGCTATGCCGAAAAACTTGCTAAAGAAGAAAAATCCATTCTCTACAGTGATAAGACAGAAATAATGTTGGAGATAAGGCACGCTCTGTGGTGCACGAAGATAGGCATTGGTACTGACGGCCTTTTATTTGCGTCTCCCATCTGCTGGCATGCACCATCTGACCACATGTGAAAAACACATCCATCGCTGTCGCCTGGCATAGGGGACCATTCTGGTTCTCTGTGCCAAGGCTATGCCAGCACCAAGGAGGTGCACAGCCCTGCCCTTAGGTGCTGACCTGGGCCAGTTCTGTGCTGGCCAAAAGCATTCTGTTGTGGGACATGATACCAGCTTGGGGCTCCCCCTCTTTTCTGCAGGGACCTGGGGCTGAAAAAGGATTCCTTTGGTTTTACTTTTCACTCCTGCACTCTTTCTTCCCCAGTCCACTAAGTATATTTGACTGGCAGCAAAACCAGGACACTTTTATCCCCTTTTTTGTATTTGGTGGGATGGAAGTTTGGTAAATCCCTAGCACATTTAACTATTAACTAATAAAGCATGACAACTATGTAGGGAAATCTCTACAGGGAAATACTGACCCCGTTCTGCTCTTTGCTTCTGCTATCCCCAGTCTGTAAATGCCACTGACTGGGATATGGTATGTGCCAGTCAGCAGCTTCTCTCTGCTCTCTCACCCTCCGTTTCCATGACAGCATCACTGACTTGTTAGTGTCGAAGGAGAACAGAGAAGTGCCTAGCAAACATTTCCTCTTTGAGGCATTTCCGGCTTTCTGGTCTTGCCACAGCTTTCACTGCTGTCTGGCTTCAGGATCTGGCTTCAATTCCTGTGTAGCAGCAGCCTCTTGGCTCACTCCTGTCATGGCTGCAGGTTGTGGCCTGGTGAGAGCTGATGGTTCCAGCATGTTGTAAGCAGGAATTCAGAGACACTGGCTGCACTGGGGATTCTGTAATACTTCTGAGCCTGACTGTTTCCTGAATTAATACTATTTTGTTGGGAAAACAGGCAAGCTAGTTTTATGCAAGCTTTTCTGATTAATCCCTGAGCTACTCTTAACTTACACTCATTGGGGAGTGCAGACTGAGGAACTGGGTTAACAGAGCCGCAGGGACAATAGCTAGCAGCATGGGTGAGCAGCAATGGAGCCCTGGTAGTCTCTCAAAGGTCAGGAATTCAGGACATGGTGGCTTTGTGACTTTCCCTGTTCTTCTATGTCTGATCTACCGAAGTGCTACAGCACTTTGGACCTTTGCTCCTTGGCTGCAAACCTGGAAGCAGAATGTGTGAGCAGACTTTGCAGTCTCCAGCACTGGTATAAATAATACTGTGGTGGGAGGAGCAACTTCCCTCTTGGCCTGTCTCTCTCACAGAAATGAGAGGAGCCTGTCCTCCTTGTGTGGGTGTCTGCCAGGAGAAGGAGAGGGCAGGGCTAGTGAAGCAAATGACTGCAAGGGAACTTGCCTCTAAAAGCACACAGAGCTTTAACCCATCTTTTCTCCTCTGGCTGTGAAAAGCACTATTCCAGAGCCAACTGCAAAAACTTTGAGCTTCTTTCAAAGCCAGTACATCTGCCTGCCTCTGTGATTAGACTCACACAGATTCCTGTAGCCATGGCTCCTGGATTCCTGCCTTTCTTCCTGCTAAGACTGCCGTGCTGGTTTCTCAACCCCAGGCAGTGACCCTCCCCGCATGACACAGTGGTCAGCCATCTCACTTACCCCTCTCACTGGATTAGGCTCTTTCCCCTGCTCAGTCCAGTTTTCTCTCTAGGGCTTAGGAACTGTTGTGATTTCACAGTTGTAGTCCCATCCCTGCCCTTGTGCCCAAGCTGCCACTGAGACTGCCCTGCCATGGTCACTGCCCACAGGCCGTGCTTCCACTCTGTCTGTCCCCTCTGTGTTGACATTAGCTAAGGCAGGATGTTCTGTTCCTGTCCGTGCTGTGTTTAACTGCTGACTGCTACAACCTGCTCTGCACTTAGGAAAGAGGAGCAGAGCAAGCAGTTGTAAAAAGATGCAAGGTTGCATCATGTTAGCTAGGCAGCATCTGATACAGGGTGCTCTGTAGCTAGTGCAGACCTGAAGGCTGAATTCTCTCACTCCACCTGATAGCAAGTGTGGTTCTTATGTGTTTTCATGGCTCTGAAAATAGCACTTGTTCATTAAATTGTGGTCATTAGTCACAGCCCATTTTGCTAAGGGCTGGAACTGCTACCACTGCCTGGAAAGCACTGTACCGACAAAATACAGGAATGTACATAGTATAGGATATACTGGCCAAACAAGGAAAGGAAAAAGTCAGATGCATTACACAGTGTGACAACCCTCGAAGTCCATGGAAAGCAATGTTGTTTCTCAGCTTCTCTTATGGATAATAACCTGTGTTTAAATCTCTTCCAGGGCTCCTCTGTCTGTCAGGTGACAAGTATAGGAGTGACTGTTATACTACTTTATACCTCACGAGCCTGTTACAACTTGTTCATCCTATCGTTTTCCCAAACCAAGAAAGTCAACTCCTTTGACTATGATTGGTACAATGTATCAGATCAGGCAAGTATGAAAATATTTGCTAATGAGAAAATCTCATTCTGTATGTGATGTTTGATTTCTTAAGTGCTGTGACAAGAGGAATAAATATATTCAGGTCCTATTATTTTTTCTTTTATTCAATGCCCTAAGATTATTTTGCTACAGAAATGCAAATTTCTGGTGATTTTGGTATAAGGAGAACAAAACCTCCAACTCAGTGCTGAAAAGGAAGGAAGTAATGACCAGCCAAATAATTTTTTTAAATCATTTTTTTATTTACCTTGATCTTATTATCAAAAGAAAAAGAAACCTTTATTAAAAAAGACAGGTATTTTGTCCATTATTTCTGCTTGAAGCAGCAGAGAAATAGTACTTAATTCCAGTGAAATGCTCGGTTTTGAAATTATCATTCAAACCTCCCATTGTCATCCAGGCTGTGGACCTATTTACCTTAATTCTGTCATTAGCATGATAATTTCTGTACTTTGAGGATAAGGCTAAGATTCTTCCTAACCTTTAATTGCAAGTGAGAATTTAAACTGAGGACTAACGGTGACAAAAGCACTAAAGGAAATAATGGGGTATTCTTTGTTGAATTTTATGAAATTTGGGCATCTAGCTCCTTTCTCTGCTTTGAAACATATCAAGGTCCCAGTATTTTTCCAGCTATGTCAAGGATAGGCAAAATGGCAGGCCTGGGTCTGGATCATGAGTATCTTTTCTTTGGCCTCAAAATCTCAGACACCTGATGTCTCCCCACTCTCTCAGCAAGCACCTGCAGATCAAAAGCAGCGTTCCCAGCCGTGCAAGGGCCTCATATTGCCAGGGTGGCCAAGCAAACCTGGAGCCATTAACAACTTTCTGTTAAGCAGGAGATAAAACTGTAATTAAGAAGTAGGTAAACAGTAGGATAGGATTGCCCAGGGGACCTCGTTATGAGTTAGCTGAGCGGGGTCTGTCAAGGGATCTCTAATCAGCCCTGCTGAGGTGTGGAGGAGGGCAGCTAGGAGCTGCCAGTCTGTGTAATTAAAATACACAGGTTTAGACAGAAGAGCACTGGGCTCTGACTTGTCTCCTGAATCAAACATTTTCCCTCTTGTTGAGGCCTGCAGTGTTGCTGCTGCTCCTGCTGACCCCTTGCAGGGGACAATTCTTGTGCTGACTCCTGCAGCCTGGAGTAAAGGGGCTGGAAATTCGTGGCCAGACTACTTGTCCCGTTTACCCGGTGGAGGCAGAGGTTGTTCATAGGGAGCTCAGTGGAATGCTTTAGGCCTTGGGCCACTACTATATGTCTTGAATATCTGTTCTGACTTGTGACATTAGAGCTGTATGAATTTTGGGGTAAATTATTTGAACTATATCTAAAGGGCCTGGAACGAAGGAGCAGGTACTCAATTTGGTACCAGAATCAAAAGTAACTTTTAAAATTATAGGCCAGTGTTTGTACTTTGGTATAGCCTCAGGTCACCGGTCAGAAACACCCTCTTCTCTTCTGTACAAAACACATGAAAGGACAGGATTTGCCCTCTGTGGCTATGGGGAATGGTGGAAATCTAGAGAGAAGATCAAAGCTAATGCTACAGTAACAGCAGGGTTATTCAAGCTTACAGTGCGCACCAATTTGAGGAGAGCCGAGCCTTTCATTTTCAAAAGCAATGCCCTTGAACATTGATTGTTCCTTTACTATTATTCCCAGCTGGAAAAGGACTGGAAAACTGGTTTCTCATTATTGGATTTGATTACTTAATCAAATAATTGGTCACTTGCTGGGCTTTTAGACTGGGAAGACCCCTGTATTAAAGTTTGATTTTGCTGAAGGAAAGATATGAGGAGGAAGAAAGGTGGAAGGAAAGGGAAGTCATGTACTCAAGATAGCATATTGATTTTTCTAGTATGCCTTTAATCATTAGCCAGGTTAATGTGACTCTACTGAGTGGAATCTCTGGCCGTGTTGTCAAGCATTTCAGCCACTTAAATACAAAACTTCATAAGAAAACACGTTGCCTCCTTTAAATGAGCTACCAACTTTATTTTTAAACACTTTTCTCTTTTACTTTTAAACAGGCAGATCTGAAATGTCAGCTGGGAGATGCAGGTTACATAGTATTTGGAGTGATCCTTTTCATCTGGGAGCTCTTGCCTACTTCCTTGGTTGTGTATTTCTTCCGTGTCCGAAACCCTACAAAAGATCTGGTAAGTGGAATTTGTGAGGGTATTTGTTAAAGTAATGTGCAGGTAAGTCTGGAGGGCTCGACTTCTGAAGGAGCTTTTGCTTCTTAACATTCTGATTTCTTTTTCAAAGTGTCCTTGGCAGAACAAAATCAACCCAAACTTCCTACTTCTTTATGCTAACTCCTCATGAAAGAAATCATCAGATTTACCAAGGAGGAAGGCAAGGTGTTTCTCAGGCATTTTACCTTAAAAATCAGGAACCTTCTTAAATGTAGGGACCTCTTTCCCTAAACTCAAAACTTTCTACAGCACTTTACTGGAGTCAGTGGAAAAAGAGTTTGTTATCCAAACTTGGGATGTGTCATCACATAGTGTGCTAACTGTTCAATGGTATGTGTGAAATAACAGATGGAGTTCTTTCAGCCATGGCATTGTTTCTAAGTCAAAGAGCAGTGGCCATAACAAGCACTTGGTGACTTGTTTGCCATTTCAGCAGAGCGGAGATTAAAGGTGTGAGTTGTAAGCATAATTCCCTGTAAGTATCCTTAAGTTAATATATGGACAAGCATCTTTTTATAGCTGTAGGCAACGTCTCCAGGTTAGCATAGGACATGCTGGTTGACAGGCACATGGGGAATACCAGCCCTGCACTAGGATGACTCAGGTAGTGTCTCTGTTTCTGTAGGTCAAGCCAAACCAAAGCTAATATTCCCAAAAAAAGATGTCAATGGTAAACACACAAGTAAGAGAAGCAAATAATAGAATAACTTTTTAGGCAAGGTGATGGGTTTTATTCTCACATAAACATTTCAGAGACAATGATGAAACCAAGCCAAACAAGAAAGTGATACCTGATGTTGCACTAAGAAACCCCAGGGACTCCAGTGTCCACCACCAAAAATACCTCAGCCCCACTTCTGCTTAGGACAGGACAACTGCCAAGACAAGAAATGTTTTTAAGTACAGTCCAGCGGTGCTGGTCTTCTAAAAAGTGACCACAGAGAGATCACATTTCATTTAAAATGAGTTTAGTAAGGCTAGATCTGGTGGACAAGTTTGGATAGTGTGGGGAGATCATAAGAGCATGAAAATAAGGGATGTGGTCTAATCATTCCTGTCAAAAAACTGATCCTATGAAGACTTGGAATCCTACTCAAATGAGAGTTCAAATGGAGTCTGACAGTACTCTCACAAGTCAAAGAGCACTGCAGTAAGACATATAACATTGTATTTTTGCATTGTGATTTGCAGAAAGCCTTAAATCTCCAGCTTCATACACAGTTCAGAAGAGGCAGTCAGTGATATCACTTCTTTTGTAGGTACCTTTTTTAGGGTAGACATTATCTGTCGTATGTCAGGTCATCTATAGATGTTTTTTCTGCATATGACAAGCATTAAGAGGAAAACCAGAAACAACGTTAGAATAAAAAAAAAAATTAAGAGACTGTAGCAAGGGGAAACTAAACTTCAGTGCAAGGATGCCACAAGAGGGAGACCAAGGACTGCAGGACTTTAGGCTAATGCGTTCAGGAGGCTGTTAACAACAGTTAAGTGTTAGCACTTGAAAATACTTAGTCAGAAAACATGGTGTTAGAATTAAAACAAACCCCTTTTAGTTAAAAAAACCCTTAACAACAACTTTGATTTAGTAAAAATCAAAATGTTCTTTATTTTTAATAAGGAAAAAATCCTGAGAAATAGTTGTTCTTGGGTTTTAGGTTTCATTCACGACTTCAGGAACAAAAAGTTTGAGTAGAGGCATCCCGAATTCAGCGTTGTTCAAATGTGAGGCTCCTTTTCACGGACTTTTATAGCCTGGAAAGAGCTGTCTGTCAGCTTTGGTGCTGCAGTGTGTGGCCCTTTGTCTTTCCCTACCTTCAGTCAGACAGGTGTTGGAAATGTGCACACGGCAGAGATGTACCTATCTTTACTTCATCTCCACCAAAGTTATTTAACATCTAAAATAAAGGAGGAGATTAATGCTCTCCTGCCTAAGGCCAGGGAGATGATGTTGTCCTGGCTCATCCACAGGTGCAGGGAACACTGTTTCCTAGGGATGGAAGCTGTGGATCAGTGGATAAGGCTCAGCTGGGTTCTTGATGTTCCTCTGCACTGTTTCCAGAATCAAACTGACCTTTAAAATTTTGTATATCTCCTGTTTTGAGTCATAGGGAAATAAAAGGAAAATGCTTTGTAAATAAAGCAGTTACATGTACACCCCTTTCCCTGTTTTGTTAAAGGACCTGATCTTGGATTTTGACCCTCACAGCACTATAGGGTAGATGCTAAAATTGTTCAGTGAGGTCCTAAGGGGCTTTTCAGGCAGGGTTTCACCAAGCAGGGTGCCAAGCTTCAAATCATCCATCCCTGAGGCACGGGACATAAGGCAGCAGGAGAGAGTGTGACCAATGTGGGAGGTAAAATCAAATCTCTTTTAAAATCAATTCCTTCAGCTTCTCAGCTGCTTCCCTACTGCTCACTTCAAGTCAGCTGGCTAAAAGCACAAAGTGCTAAAGGATGGACAGGAATTCAGCAGACAGATTAAATGCAGGCTGGAGAGTGGTTTCAGAAATGGGTCATGTGTTTAAAAAAGATATAAGGATAGGAAATGCTGTTGAGAGCAGTAGACTATCACTGTGCTGACAGAGATGAACAGAGAATGCAAAATTATTTCTATTGTCTACAGCAAATGTGAAATTGCCTGCTTTATTTTGGAAACCAGGAGGTAAAGTCTGCAGTGACTTCTTTTGGAAGACAAGCACCAAGAAGTTTATCTATCTGGTGCAAGTACTGACCGAGGTTTCCTTTCCCTCAGGCCAATGCAGGAATGGTCCCAAGCCATGGCTTCAGTCCCAGATCTTACTTCTTTGACAACCCTCGCAGATACGACAGCGATGACGATCTAGCGTGGAACATTGCGCCACAGGGGGCACAGGGCAGGTGAGATACAAGAGGGAACCGCTTGCTTCCCGAAACAGAAACTGGAGGAGGAACAACTCTGACACACTGCAAAAACACTGATGTAAATTGTCTAGCTGCAAGTGTTGCTTAAATCCCAGGGAGGGTGAGGGGAAGCAACTGGGGAGGTTGTAGTGGAAAAATAGCACTGAGTTGGGATCATTCACAAGAATGAAAATGGTTACGTAATTTAAGAATGGCAGGAGCATGCTGTGCTTTGAAAAATGCAGGTCATATCTTTGGGTTGCATGTTTCACCACCCTCTGTTTCTTCCAAAAGTGGCTTTTAAGAAGTGCCATTTACTCATTCAAGTGTGTGAGCAAGGCAGCCTAGAAAAACAGTTGCCTCCCTGCTCAGGGGGAGCAGGAAAGAGCTCAACAACACAAGGCAGTAGCTTGTAATGGTGGCAGTCAGAAGCCTCTCAACTTAGACTGCCCTGTGACATGACTAAATGTCTTGAGGGTTACCTGAAATGAAGGGAGCATTTGCTTTCCCATGTGCTGAAAGCTTAGGAAAATCCACCTAACTGCTGAAATCCCACACCACCCAGAGCTGGCATAAAAATTTAGTTTTCTCTGTGCAACTGGGAGCTTTAGGTAAGGATTCCCATCCAGAAAGGAGCAGTTCACACCAACGATAGCACCTAATTCAGAGAAGGAAAGGCACTTGCAGGACTGTCCTGTTCTGAAAGGAGGCTCAGGCACCTGCTGTTCCTGTATCTACACTGTGCTAGGAGTAGATTAGCTTAATCATTCATCTTAAAATGCCAACTAACTTGGCTTTAATATTGTAACCATAGGTTACATTACCCAGCTCTAGTTCTTGTCACTCATTCAGCTAAGACTGCTTGGTCACTGTCTCTGAGCCCAGACCATGGTTCAGTAAAGTTAAATACTCACTATTTATAGTTATCAATCATTCTACCCCTGCATTCATTAGTTTTTCACTTAGTAACTAAACCCACGGGGATGCTGGAGGTGGTGTTTGCCAACCTGGTCTCCAGCCTAGAGCTAGAGGCACCCTCTCCTCCCACACAGAGACATCAGGGAACCAGCCACACTGGTAACATGTACAGCTCCCAGTGGGAACCAAGCCAGCCACATACATACACTGTCTCACACTGCTCATGGGAGAAATGCCAGCATACCAGAGCTGCTAACCAGTCCCAGGCCCTTGGGCACGGACACAGGAGGTTTAGGGCTGTCACTGACAGGCCTCACAATGCCAGGGCTTGGCAGGGATGAGCAGCATCATTTCTGGGATTTTCAAGCACCTTCTGGAACAATGAGTCAGCAAGGAGAGGGTCTTTAGTGAACTGGGAGAATAATAAGTTGAGAACACTTGAGGCAAAATAATTAACGGATCAGAAAAATCAACAGCAGCCTGAACCCTTGCTTGGGGGTTTGTCTTACTTTTGTACTTCAGCATGAGAACCTCCTCTATGTGATTTGCATTTTTCCCACAGGTATCTACAGAACCACCCTGTCAGGCACTGATTCTTCTGTTTTCTTTTTAAGTTTCTCTCCAGACTACTACGACTGGAGCCATCAGAACAACAGCTTCATGGCTTACATAGGATCCCTCCAACACGATCCAGCACTGGACACAGACCGGCCAAGCCCTATATAACATCAATCAACTACAGCATTCCAGGACATTCCGATATTAAAACCAATATTCTGAAAAACAAAGCTTAGCAACTTTTCCTCAGCTTTTGGTTTTAAGAAGTATTCCTATGCACAGATAAATGAAGAACCTTGCCACGAGCTTTCCATAGTTCAAGGAGAAGTATAAGCTAATGATTTAAAGTTTGAAGACTGTTCCAGTTAATACCTTGTTCTAAGCCAGGGTGGTTTTGGCTTTGAATAGAGTTGTTAGGAAATATAATTTAATCATTTTTATGCTCATTTTAAAAGAGCAAATTTCATGAAGTTGAACGGCATAATTATTTTCTAAGTATTTTTATTTTTACACTGTGTATTAGGTTAGAAATATATGATTATGATGAATATACTGTAAACACGTGAATGGGTTTTTCAAATGCATGACAGTTGCAATTCTTACATGCACATAAAAGCCTGTAAGGAAAAAAATACAAACCCAATTAAATACTGTATTTTCAAGTTATCCCTATGTTCTCAGAGCGCAATTTACTCCTTGGATACCACTGCTTATTCAGTGGGGCATGATAGTTGGAGGCTAAGTCATCTGTACACTGCTTTCTTCTAAGAAAGTAGGAAAATTGTATCTTCTCAGCAGATCTAGGGACTGTCACAGAAGAGTAAAGATGGGCATGTGTTCCAAGTGGAGCACTGTGAACTGCAAAACAGGCTGAAAATGTCTCTGAAAAGATAAAGTTATGTGATCATCTCCCTTAATCAGATCTAGATATATTATGTAGAAGAGTAAGTCAAAGGCCTAGCCAGGGAGAGGAGTATATCGAACAGTATGTACCTGCTTAATTATTTATTAAGAACATGGGAAGTACAGTCTGGGAATAGAACAAGAGCCAGGAGTATGTAAAGCAAAGAAACCTCCAGTGCACCTTTCTACATAATGAGCAGAAGGTCAGCCTTGGATCTTCAGGGGTAATGTAGTGGGTTGTGGTGGAAATGCTGGATAAATACCATTCAAGGATGCACAATCTGCACAGAGAAAGCGTAGAAGTAATTATTACTACTCTAAGGCAAACAGAAACTCTGACTCTACTTCAGGTCTTTTTATTGTGCCCAGTGCTCGATGGTGAAGAACTCCGCATCCCCACTGACCTTCTCCTTCCCCATGTAAAACAAATACTGTAACTCAATCCATACATCTCTTGAGAAAAATGTATTACTAGAAGTAATCTTTACTAGATTACTAGAATAAAAGTAGTTCCTTCATTTTGAGGTGTACTACAGCAGCCCCAAATGGTGGACAGGCTTCATGTTTTCCTCACACTCAACTTCAGGAAGCCCAAGTAGTCAAGAATTCTTATGTACATTTCACCAAGTATTTACAGGGAAAAACAAAGGGATGGGGAATAGATCTGATCAGATCTGCTTGAAAGGCAAAAGCACAGTAGTGCCACACTCACATGTCGAGTCTTCCACAGATTCTTGGGGCTTTAGGGTCTTCATCTTCAAGTCAAAGCATGAACCTTGCCTCCAGCAGAAGTAAACTGTTTGCCCTCCCAAAGCTTCCACTGCCTTCTTCACATATGTGCATTGATGAAAAAAATGCCAATTAAACTATCAGTAAGAGATTTTTTTTTTCTTTGCCCCGGCAGATGAACCTTAGGATTAAAGGGTGGGCTCAGTTCCACGCACACTGTGTCTCACCTAAAAAATCCAATGCGCAGGCTGGAAGGTGTAAAGACCTTCCCCGGATCTTCGCTCGCGAAGACTGGCCATTATATTATAAGAGATTAAAAAAGGTGCCACGGGGTTCGGAGAACAGAAATTTTATTAAACCCTTTGAAGTTCTACAATCATGTTCGTACAAAACTTCCCGAAGACCCAGTGCAAGGGAAGTCTGCAGGAATTACATTTTCCTCACAGTATATACAGCTGCACAGCAAAAACTTCAGAGAATCCTGCACTTAAAAACCAGCTTAATCCCTGTACCACAGTAGGCATGCAAAAAAGTGGAATGACAAGTGACTGTAACCAACCATAGTAATGAATTAAATATTCTCAAACACAAGAGATTTAAACAACACTGATGGGTTAGATCTTAAATTTAAATTAAATCACTATAATTATCATCACCTGTGTAACAGGTACTTACACATTTCATCCCCAGTTTAGGTGGGTGTCAAATTTCTAGTAAGACAATTTGTTAAAAATGCATACATGGAAAGAAACAGAGAGCTGCAGAAACCCTTTCAGGGAAATAATTTCAACACAAAGACTCCCATTGGGTGAACCAACCGATAAAATGTTATTTATAAATCTGATTTTATAAGCTATTCTGAAAAAGGGACAGAACAAACTTCATTTCAAAATAAGCCTTTTTGTCTCTTAAAACAATTGGTCTTAAAGAGGGGCTAATGGATTTCTGATGTGCAGACACACTACAGTGCACTGTAAACTGTAACAGATACACAGGTTACCTTCATCTTTCGAATGAAAGTGAAGTGAGATGAAAATCTGCTTATCATTTTAAGCTTAAACAAATTAAAAAAAAATGTAATTTATATAATATCTACCAAGTGTAGTTGAAGGGTAAATGAAAATCAAAAAACATTTTCAAATGAAACCCCAAAAATTACATTCACAAAAAGAAGTTGTAGCAGAAAATACTTTAATTTGCATCTTGTAGATTCAAACATAGCAAAGGTTCAGAAGTGTTTAGATCTCAGTAAGCAGTTCTAACATTGATTTTGATTTTAATAAATATTACATTTTAATAGGGTAGCTATATGGAGAAATTGGAAAGTGATGAATTGCTGATTGCTACTTTATAAACATGAGCATCAAGATTATTTACAACACATTACAGGTCATTTCCCAGAAAAGCACAAAGCAAGGTCAGATAAAGGCAACTCAACCATCAAAACACAACTCAAGAAAGTGTGGCACAGTGTATTTCATGCACATATAATGACAAACAGCACAGATCATCAGCTGAAAAGTAGAAAACACTTATTATTCCAGCTTACACAAGTCTCTGTATTTCATTGTTTTAAATCTGTATTCTCACCTTCCTCCTCAATTGAAGAGAAAGTTTTTCACAATAGTGCTCTACTTTTTACCTTGGTGCAGTTTGCACCAAGTCTTTTTTTACCATTTCACACAATTCTCCTTGACTTGGGAACAATTAAACAGTTTTGTCGTTGTCTTCTCACTACCTCTGGGATTACAATCATTGTGTCATTTGTACAAGGAAATGTACTGCTACTCTGAAATGAATGACAGACAAAGTTGACAAGCTGATCTGCAACAGGGAGCTGGAATTTAAAATAGTTTCCATGTTGTGGACAATGTAACTAACCTTATTCTTTAGTATAAAAACAGACCTGTAAATTTCTAAAATTTATTTGAACATATAAAGAACTAAATCATCCAACCCACACGGCAAAACTTTATAGGCAGCATAGTCACAGAATGTACACTAAATACAGTAAAAAAAGATGGTGACAGGAAAATTGTTTCAACCAGATTTGTTACAGGAAAAATTTTATGTCCCATCCCTACAATGATAGTGAAATGAAACGCCTTCCATATTTGATCATTAAGCAAGATGCACCTTCAAGCGCAACAGAACTATGGGGAAGTTCCCCCCTACAGAGAATCTGCTGTTCAGTTGCATTCCTGTGTTTCCATGACACAAAGGAGAAGAAAAGCTTCCCATCTCTTTATGTCCTTACCCAACAGTATTAACCTTGCCTGCACTTGTGCCAGTGAGGGCTGCAAGGAGCAGGTGTCCAGGATCTGCATACCCAGATCTCTCTCCTGTCTCATGAGCAAGTGCATGATGTTGCTTCAGTGTCTGTAGATTTTAGCCAGGCACAGGTGGGAAAAAAAACCCCTAAATAGCAAGTTGCATCCCCAGAAGGAGGTTGGAAGCAATTCACTTTCCCCACAAAGCAAGGGGAAAGAAAGGAAGAAACATTTTTGAGACTTGGGTCCTTCCTGGGGTGGCGCAGACAATGCAATTTTTTTTTCCCATTAAAAAATCCTGCCTAAAGCTTTAGGCACTGTAACATATAATATTAGATAAATCCCAGCTGTACAGCATTCCTCACACAAGTGAGTCTACAGATTCTAGCCCTTGCAGGTCTATCTAAAAGGCAAGGAATTAATGGCCAACTGAAAACTACACTTCCTGTATATACAGTTACTCAGAAGATTTGGATACTCAGTGTGTAACTCATTTACTAAACACAGCTATTCACATCTGAGCTAGTTATTTAGATTCCCACTTCAATTTAATGGAGAAAGATAAACTCTAGGGTGCAAATGCAGAGCTTGGAAGAGGCCAGGTGAATCCACCTAGACACATCCTGCTCTTCTGCATTAACTAGAAAAAGAAAACCTGTGGTGACTTGCTCAGACACAGTTGCCCACAGGCTAGAGAGGCTACTAGGTAAGAACATAACATCCCTAGACTGGCATCAGCTTTCCCTAACACCACATTCAATTACTTATTGGCTTAAACAGAAACTTTTGGTATATATAACTTCTGTTATATATTGGCAGTTCACTGCCAATTTATAAAACTATCATCAAAACTTTGTGAGGGTGGTTTAGTTTTGGGGTTTTTTTCCCCTTTCTCCTTTTTTTCCCCCTCCTTTCATTTAGCTTATCCCAGGTTGACTCAAGGGGACTTACTTTCTTGAGGAAACAGTATTTTTTATAAAAGCAAGTGTCAGCAGGATAGTCTATTTCATTTCCAGTCAGGTAGAAATTTGAAGCTAGTCTGGAAACAAAGGACAGAGCATATTCCAGCCTTCAGAAAATCTCAGCGGTAAAGGAACACATTATGGAAGCCAATACAGTTACAATCAATTATATAAACAGGTCACTCAGTATCTGGGTGAAAAATGATTAAGAGCACTTAATTTTGTGAAGACTTGTTTTTAAAAACAAGAGATGTATCTACACCGTACCAGCACTTCCTACATTCATAACTCCTAACTTCATTTTTAAACATGCTGGTTTAAAAGAATCAACTACTTCATTTTAGATTTAAACCAATATTTGGTTGCTACTAATTGGCAATGCTGTTTCTGAATTCTGTTCTGACACTGGTAAGTTATCACTGATATTTGTGGACAATGATACATGAGTAATTCTTATTCTATGAAAGCAATGTTATTAACATACCCGTTTTTTTACACTGAATATCCTTTTAAAGAAAATACAGGAAGGGTTTGCATAGATAGAGTATGTGGTATTAAATGTCAGTATGATTATGAATTTTAAAAAGCATCATTTTTTAAAAACTGATTACAAAAACAAGTTCTTTTTACACTGACCTTTCAACATAGCACTCAGACATAACTCATATAGAGCAAATTTATTTCCATGGCTCAAAGACCTAAGTGTGCTGTTTTAACATTTTAGACATCAAAAAGACAATTTCCGGAAACTGAACTTGTGATTACAGTCCAGAAAATAATATGGAGCAAATTTGATTGAGGC